GGAATCTGTCCTTTTTTCAAGGCATTTTCATGCCCTTTATATAGGAAAATTACAATTAAGAAAATCTATGGTAAATAAGATATTACTAACAATAATAACAGAGCTAACAGATATACTAATTATATTAAATATGATATAAATGATAATAAAAATATAAATAATAAAAATATAATAAATATTATGTCTGTCCTTTTTGGCAGATATAGCATATTTGGCAGATATGTCATATATGACTGGTCTGTTAATTTCTGCTAGTTTTAACATGATAGTTTATACTGTTTAGGTTTGAAACGTTTATATAAGAGTTTATAGGGATCAGTAGAGATTTTCTTAGAATAATCTTTAAGTTTATAATCTGAGAATCTACATTTTCTGCAATATTTGTCTGCAGGACCTATCCAGTATAATACATTTCCCTTGAATTTATGATGTTGAGCTGCTATAGCGTCTAAGTCTTCAATAGTAACAAAATTAACAAATGCATAAGGTCTTAATTAGTATTATTGATCTTTTAGAATGAAGCATGATTTAGCTTTAATTTGGGTTAAGAAATTGTGTAAGAAGCGTTAATCAGTATTGAGTGGTAAACCAGTGAGTTTGAGCTCAAATTGTTGTTTTAATGTAGTTTACATAGGATCAAGATCAGTTAGTTTGACTCTTAAAGCGAATTCTAAAAAGAAACTGATCATATATTATTGTAAAATTGTTTGATAGCATCATTATTTTTATAAACAATGAAGGTGATCTGCTAGGATCCTTTGATGATTAAAGAGAAACAAGTGATCATTCCAAATTTGGCAAAAAAAATTCATACTACTTCAGATTTAAAAAAGGAAAAATGTCTAATACTTTGATAGTATGACCTTTCTCTACATCTAATTTTAGTTGTTTAGCGTTAAAATCTGCAATCAAAAAGATTGGATTATATTATATTTTCTGCATTTTCATAACAACATATGTGAGGTATACTAAACTGTCAAAGTAAATGATAAATTTTCTATTTTTGGAAAGATAGTTGGAGTCTTGAAAGCCATTAAAGTGAATAAATAGTACGCTGATAAAATTGCATTTTTCAGCTATAGATTTTCTTTAATATCTGTCACGTTATCAGTGATGTAAAATCGAATTAGCGCAGTAATTATGTTAAATTGTTGATCATTTACGTTCTTGTTAGAAGTTAAAGCTTCAGCTTCATCTATTTCGTCTGATCAAGTTTATTTATTTTTCCCTTTAGAAAAAGAAGAAATGCTTGTTGATTTTGATTTGTTAGTATTGTTTGTTTATTTAGCATGCATAGAGTCTTTGGTTGTTTAAAGAGGGATGGATTAAACTGGTTCTGTAGTGTCAGAAGTTGAAGGAATATTATTATTTATTTCTATGTCTATAGCTTTAGTTGTGCTTTCATTAGTATTGTTAGGTGTTTGATTATTGTTGTCAGTAGTAAGAATAATATTTTCTATAACTTTGTTAATAATTTTTAGAGAAGAAGTTTCCATATTTTCTATAGTAATTTTTTGTTTTTTGTTATTTGTTAAGGGAGTTTTTAATAAAGTTTATTTGTTAGACTCTAAACTAGAGTTCACTGACTGTTCAGTATTATTTCTTAGTGTTGTTCATTTGTTTTTGTTATAAGATTATGAGTTATTTTGAATATAATTTTTTGTTCTAGTTTCTGGTATGATAGTTACAGATAAGAGTTCGTAAAATTCTATCTGATTACCTAATTAGACCAATAGATGATAAGATATTTTAAGAAGAATGATTAAGTATAATTCTGTAAATTATTGCTAAACGGAATCATAATTCCTTAACGTGAATTAGCAATCATCTGGCTAAAATTACAAAAATTACAAAAATGACAAAAACTATCATAATGATAAAACTGATGATAATATCGTTAACTAATTTAGAAATTAAAAAACTCTTTTTCTCTCGTTGAATTTTGTCCAAGAATTTTTATGTAAAAAACGTGTTCGTTCAAGGGCGGTCATGGCTTAGCCTGCGAATAAAAACAACAACTCCCCTTTTCAAAAATAGTCCTCTCTTTATTCCCCATACCTTCAACCAAAAAATATTTCATTATTAGTCCAAACGGTAGTGTTTTTTTGTTAAAATATTTTTTTCGCCACTTCTCTCAAATATTTTTCTTGTTTGTTTTCCTTTTTCTTTTTTGCTTACAAAAAGTGGGCATTAAGGGGTATCTGAAATGACGATCAGGATCGATATATCTTTAGGCATAAACAAATCTCACGTAATGACTATCCAATCACCTTCATAAACAATAACATTCTTTTAAAGATCTTCTGACGTCATAGAGTCTGCCGATCTTAGCAGAATTTTCTAGTTCTCGCAACTATGTGTTTTGGGCTCTGTGCTTTTGCCGGCGGCTGTAATCTGAATTGACAGATATATTAACATGGAAGTTTGAGATATCTAAAGAGCTTCCAACAGAACTTAGTATTTTGGGCGCTTCTGTTGTGAGAGGTTGTTGTAACTTGGAATTAACCAGGCATTTTAGCTAAGAACTTGTTGAAGTTAGTTGTCTTTTTTAACCTTTCTTTTTTCAGAAGCTAATCTCAGGTTTGTGTGTTCTGAAGGGTGTTAATTTTTTTTTAGTTAGAAGATTAGTAGTTAGTTTAAGGAAAAGCGTTGTGTTGCTTACAACTTTATTAGCTTATCTCGTTGATGAGTTGTTCATTAAAAGTGATTTTATTAAACTTCTTGGAGGGAAAAGCCGGTGATTAGTCAACTCAAATAGGCTTGAAATAGAGTCACAGGAGGTAGCTACAGTTTAGTTTAGATTTTCTTATTTGTATCTTTTGCTTTGTTTTACATAGATTAGTGCATTTAATATTATGAATCTGTTAATAAACTTGTGGTAGTACCACATCGTTAAAATACAAAAAAAAAAAAAAATATCGTTAACTAATTTAAATATGTTTACATAGTTAATGTGGTTTACTTAGTTAAACTTATTAATTAAGTTAACAGTGTTTACAAGATTTTTGTAATTTATTAATTTGTACTTTACCTTAATTAAGTAATAGAATTAGATCCAAAGTTTTGTATAAATAGGATAGGAATTTCATGTATTTACTCATTCAGTCATAAGTCAGTTTTAGTCAGTTAGTTAATCTAAGTTAATCTTGAATGAATTACAAGTCAGATAATTACTCAGTTAATAAAATCAAGCTAGATAGTCTTGAGAATAATTATTAGATAGTTTTTTAATACAGTTTTGATATAGTTTAGTTTATTGTTTATTCTTTAATTTTGTAAGTTCGCAAATAAGAGCTTATTTAAATTATTGAATGGTATTGATCTCAATTTCTCTAATTAATAAAACCAATCTTAACCTTATAATTTTAATTAGTTAAACTTGTTACATAAAATCCAATTCATCATTATTGCTTTCCCATATAAACATATACATTGATTGTAATAATTTACATTGATAATTCTATTGATGTCAACAAGACTTTAGGATTATTAACATAAATTGTTATCCTTCAGATACCTAAAACATTGCTATATGCGTTGAAGTCTATTTTTCAGTCGGTAGACTTTGCAATTGACTTGTATAATAATATGCAATCTTTACGAATTGTGACAGTTAGACAGGTATTTGAGTGGTGATTCTTTTAAATTTACGTAGTAATCTAATAGTTGTCTCAGTAAGTTAATAGTTCTTTTATATACTGCAAAGTATATTCACATCTCAGTTAGTTAAGTTTTATTATATATTGAAAAATATATTCAAACCTATGATAAATGTATGATTTATCTATTATATACTGCCCAATGTATTCAATACACTATCGAGTATATTTCCATATGTTAAGTTAAAATTAAACGTGAATTACATTACAAATATAAAGTGTCACAAAATGTTTTAAGTAAATCGAATAAAGATTTATTGGTAAATAAATAAACTAAAGCTAAAAATACTAAACTAAGGAAATATAAAAGAAGAATTAATCATAAATAGAAAAGAGTAGTTTTACGCTACTTTATAAAAAGGGATTATATAATTATCTCTGAACTGATCGGATTACATCTAGCAATTAATAGTTACTTTCTTGTCAAAAATTTAATCTCTTTTATATACTTTTTAATGTCAATCTAATATATCATATATGTTAGGTATGTCTGCTATATCAAATATCAAATATGTTTGACATGTTTGACATTTGGATCTACATTTCTTGCATTATATAATTTAAATATATTTATTAAGTCAATCCTGTTAATTACGTCACTTATATAACTATTTATAATACATTATATAGATCAATTACGTTATGATAGTCCTATTACAATATTAATTTTTAATTCTTCATTTTGAATAAATTTTTTACAAGCTTTCATTATATTATAATTCTGTTCTAACTTATATTTTGAAATGACTCCTTAAAAATATCAGAAACTGATTCAGGCATATTTGTAAAGGGTTTTGACTTGATATCTAGAACACCTAAACAAATCGGATGATTGAATCCAAGATTCTCCATATTTATTTCAAGTTCTGTTTCTATTCTCTCTCACATGATTTTTTCATAATTAATGTTCTTACTTTTATATTATTTAATATCACGCTTCAAAGATCGTAAATTTGCATTTACATCTTCATGTTAGACTTCAGTATCAATTACTAATACTTCCATTTCTGAGAGTGAACAAAGATCTTTGAATGCTGTTGCAACCTAAAAATGTATCTAATATTAGATTCTTAAGACTTGTTTGACAAATAATTTAATATTACAGTAGCGGTCATAAATATCCAACCACCTCTAACTTTGGCTATAAGTAAGTAAATTCAAAAATTTTTTTTTTATTTAAAAAAAACATAACCAACTAACTAAAATTAATACATTGTGTAGTCACCATCTGATTCTATAAGTGCAGCTGTATATCTTTTCATGCTAGCTACTAAATTTGCGGCAAGTACAGGTGATAATTAGTTCCATTCTTTTATAAGTTCCTCATTTAATCCTCTAATTGATCAAATTTTTTTTATGTATATTAATTTTCATTAACCTCCAAACGTTTTCTATAGGATTTTGATCTGGAGACATTGATGGCCAAGAAAATACCTCAATACCATTTTCTTTCTTTCATTTTTTCACGATTTTCGATCGATGCTTTGGATCATTATCTTCTTGCAAGATCCAATCTATGTTACCTTCACCAAA